TATATATATATATATGGGTGGGTGGAGTTTGCATGGTGTACACAGAGAGGCTGGTCAGCTGGTGGATGTGAATTCATAAGGGCAGGCATAATTCATTGATTGTAGGCTTTAAGTCTGTTTTGAGAAGAAGAAGAAAAAAAAAGCTTTTTTTGTCTCACAATGGAGAAATTCGCAATACCTTAACAAATGGTGGAACTACAAAATCACAAACTACTAGGTCATTGCAACAATTCCGAATGTTTGAAGTTCTGTTGAAGACATCAAGTTATCCTACGACAGACAATTGATCAAACCATTTAGCTTTCATATTAAACTCCAAAGGTGACAGAGCAGGGTAGGGTTGCATTTCAATTTCATTATGGGTGAATATGACGAAATGCCAAGCCGAAATGGGACTTTTCTTTCATGTTCATGAGTATTGGCTCACACATGCATATAGATGAGTTTGTTAGAAATTGAAAGCCCACTTGTGAAATGGAGGCCTGTACATCTATAATCAAACATACTACTACATATTACTGTTACATGTTTTTGAGGTTGTGTAGCTTATCTGCTTAACGCTTTTCCCTTCCCTTTCCTTTCCTTTCCATGCAGGCTCTGCTCTGCAACGTCGTTGGATAATACTCCAACTGCTGATGCAGGTGTGGCTCGCGGCAAGCCCGGCTCAAACAGAGCGTCCATGCCCAAAGAGCTGTCGCTGCGATGGCAAAATTGTGTACTGTGAGTCAAGTGCATTCCGTGATGTCCCCAAGAACCTCTCAGGAGGTTGTGAAGGCCTGTCGTTAAGGTACAACAGCCTCGTCAACCTTCGAGCCGGCCAGTTCGTTGGCCTGAACCACCTCATCTGGCTCTATTTAGACCACAATTACATCACGGTTGTAGATGGCATGGCATTCCAGGGAGTTCGCAGGCTAAAAGAACTGATCTTGAGCTCCAACAAGATCACTTCGCTTCACAACACCACGTTCCATCCTGTACCTAATTTGCGTAACCTTGATCTGTCATACAACAAACTGGAAGTCTTGCAGCCAGGCCAGTTTCAAGGACTACGGAAGCTTCTCAGTCTTCACATCCGCTCTAATTCACTCAAGATTCTTCCACTGCGTCTCTTCCAAGACTGCAGGAATCTTGAGTTTCTTGATCTGGGTTACAACCGCTTGCGCAGTATCACTCGGAATGCACTTTCTGGCCTAGTCAAGCTCACAGAGTTGCACCTGGAACACAATCAATTCTCAAAGATCAATTTTTCACATTTTCCTCGTCTCTACAATTTGCGGGCACTTTACCTCCAGTGGAATCGCATTCGCTCCATGAGCCAGGGCCTCACCTGGATTTGGGTTTCCATCCAAAAACTTGACTTGTCTGGGAACGATCTGTCAGAACTTGATGCTGCCATTTACCAATATTTGCCCAATCTACAAACCCTCAATCTGGACTCCAACAAGTTGACTAATGTGTCCCAAGAGGCGGTTGATGCCTGGGTTTCCGTCACTGCAATTAGCTTGGCTGGGAATGTTTGGGACTGTGGTCCAGCCATTTGTCCTCTTGTCTCTTGGCTGAAGAAATTTCGGGGTGCAAAGGAGACCACTATGATATGTGCCTCTCCAAAGAAAGCCCAAGGTGAGAAAGTGATGGATGCTGTTGAAGCTTTTGGGGTTTGCCAGTCCAACCAAGTGACGACGCTCACCGTAAGCGTTCCCCCCACTCCAGCCAATGTCTCCGAGCCTGAACATCACCCAGCAATTTTGGCTTCACCTATTCCTTCTGGAAAGAGAGCTGAAGGATCTATCAGGGGCCCAACTTCATCAGCGGTTACCGAGCCAGCAGCACTTCCCCCAGATCAAGATTTGGAGCCTGTGTCCTTTCATAAGATTGTTGCAGGAAGTGTGGCCCTGTTTCTGTCTGTTGCCATGATCCTACTGGTGATCTACGTATCGTGGAAACGCTATCCTAGCAGTGTCAAGCAACTGCAGGAGAATTCCTCGACGGCCCGCAAGCGGCGCAAGAAGTCAAAAGAAACGGAACGCACCTTGAGCTCTCCCCTGCAGGAGTACTATGTGGACTATAAACCCAACAATTCAGAGGCCATGGATGTTCTCGTCAATGGGACCGGAACCTGCACTTACACCATCTCAGGCTCCCGAGAATGTGAGGTATGACCCGCACCACCGCCACTCCTCCTAAACAAAACTCTGTCCACACAGAAACGACCAGAGGTAATTATTTACTCTGCATTGAGTATTTGTTTGAAAAAAAAAAGAGCCACAGACAAGGAAAATACTGTCGTCTGATTATTTTTTAATTTGTAAGCATCATGTGTTGAAAATAAGATGAGTCTTACTTTACACAATCAGTTCTGCTCAAGTTGTTTGCTTTATCACAGAACACCTTTTTTAAGAAGCCTAAATAATGTTGACTTCATGTTTTTCTGGGCGTAGTATTGCATGTTGGAGAACGGGGTGAAGTATATCAACGCTGTGTGTGAATGCCCATGGCATCTCTTGTATTCAAATTTTACTGGAGGGGGATTGTCTTCATGACAACTGTAACCAATATTGTTGTAAAAATGGCAGATTGCTTCACCCCACCCGCCACCCCCATGTTATTATTCTTCTTCTTCTTCTTCTTCTTCTTCTTATTATTATTAGTAGTAGTATACTGCAGAGCAGCAGGGTTCAATTCCAGGCCCCAGCCTTCCTGTGTGGAGTCAGCATTATCACCCCTTGCCTGCGTGGGTTTTCTCCGGGTATTCCGGTTACTCCCACATTCCAAAAAAATGCATGCCACTCTATGTCCCTAGGTGTGATTGTGAGCCTGAATGGTTCTTCATCTATGTGTGCCCTGCGATTGGCTGGCAACCAGTTCAGGGTGTAGTCCGCGTATTGCCCAATGACAGCTGGGATAAGCTCCAGCATGTCGGCAACCCTCATGAGGACAAGCGGCTCAGAAAATGGATGGATGGATATCCTTGTTCTGTGGCCGGAGCAAATTATGTTTTTCAATGGGAAACCTTATTTCAGTTCACAAATGAATGTAGTCACGGAAAGGATTCATGAGCATGAGGTTGCACTGTATTTTATTTCTCGATGTCTCGCTATGGCTGTCCCACGAATCATCTTTTACTGTGGTGGAGTGTTGACAGCAACTATCAGTCAGCAGTTCGCAAAGTCCAGAGTTCATTTCAGAATGTGCTTCGATCTTGTTTCTACATTTGGTTGCCCCTGTACAGACATAAATCATTCGGAGGCACGCGCTCACCCACCTCACAGCCCCCATGTCTCTCCTACAAGTCTTATTGGCTTGAATTTGGGTATGTCAGACAAAGAGAGAAGCATCAATATTTCATTTGTATCTTCCCACTGTTATACTATTCCATTTCTGTGTTCCTTGGACAGATGTTAAGCTCCTGAGGATTACAGCTCCACAAATGTAGTCTTGTGTTTATTTTATCAATTTCCACAAATTACCGTGGCTTAATTCATTTTCATTTCCTTTTTCATTTTTACTCAGTTTGTCATGATTCTGTTTGTGACCAACAGGTGGCACTGCATGTCTCCCCTGCAGCTGCACACCTGTTGGTCGTTATGTATTTAGTAATATAAAAGGGCTCCCGCCCGACCCCTCCTTGTCGGGTCATTGTGTTTGTGTGTTTGCTCCTGTCATGTTTGTTCTCAGTCATGTTTGAGTCATGGTTAGTTTTTGCTTCAGTCATGGTTTTGTTTACTACTTTGGATTCTTTTTGTTTTCAGGACTTTGTTTGTTTAGGATTTAGTTTTCTCTGTGTTTTAATTCAATTCTTCAAGTTCACCCTGCTCCTCCCTCTTGCCTGCTTTTTGGGGTCCACCACCACCTCGCAATGTGACACAGTTAAGGACTAAATAGTTGAAAAAAAAAGTAATTTGTATCCAAATCCTTCCATGATTTCCTCTCTATATACAGTAACTTACATTTTCCAACTGTACAAAGCATCCATCCCTCCATCCGAGCCAAAGTGAAAAAAACAAAAACAACAAATGTTAACACTTTTCTCTGAGTGCAAGCATGTGTTGGGTGAAAGTCTTTTTAACATATTAAATCAACACCATATGGTGTCAATTTTTTGAGACATTCTCTTTCTCCAGTCAGAGGTCAGCGTCAGATTGGTAATTGCTTGGAAAAAATACGAAATTAACACAAATACTTCGCTGTTTGTAATTTCTCGGAGATGTTACACTCCTGAAAGTTTGATTTTTCGGCCTACAATTAGCCATGTGGGAGACATCAAACATGCTCTGCGCTTGAGAGACCATCTCTCTCATACACTAATCCTGTTGGTTTCACACTCTGGTTCCATGCCACTGCTTCCTGCACCTCACACTTTGATCCAAGCTTAATGAGGATGTTAGCGCTCCAGTACGGAAACGAATGCTGTATTCCCCCCACTTCCCTTCCATAATGATTTTTTTTTTTTTCTTGTTGCATCCTGATTCATTCAATTCATGTTACTAGTTGTGCTCGCTTGAAATACTCACTAACGTTGGCTAACTTGCTTATGGACTGATACTCTGCCAGTCTTTTCTTCTGAGAATGTGAGTCACTGTAACTTTATGTGTATATTTTAAGAATAAGTGTCGAAAAATGCCAAAATTGCTGGTTTAAATTGGATTGACCTAATTGCTTTTTTTGTTGTTGTCATTATTGAAGATAACATAAGGGGCCGTAGGCATCAGTTCATAAATGTAGAACACACATCTTACGTCGACGAGAACTTACAGTTCCTTTCATATGATGTGTGATAATTGTTTGAATTTGTAAATGTGTTCAAACTTTGAGCATATTTTGCTCCAAACTTTTGGTCTTACTCTTAATTTTACGGCATTTACATCAATTGAACATTAACTCATTCAGTCCCAGCCATTTTCATTGGAGCAACTCCCTCAATCCCAGCGTTTTACTGGATTTTGACTGATCTTGCAAGGCCCACAGAATATTTGGTTCTAATGCTATATCAACATGGAGCCTACCAAAATAAAGTTTGGACTCTCTTGTTTCAGTATCTTTTTCTATTCTTCAGCAATCGGCATTACAAAATGGCTAAGTTTCATGGAAATGGCGATTCCTGGGCAAAAAACGGTGAAAAAGCGTTTTTTAAAAGCATGCATTTCAAGCACGTGAGGCACCACTGCCACCTACTGGTCGCTTTTTTACAATGCAAACGGCTTATTCTCATTAACAGATTGACGCAAAAAAAAGACTTTGACGTACAAGTACGTCCTTGGTAGGCGGGGCCTAATTTTAAAAAGACGTACAAGTACGTATTGTGGAATGAAAGTGTTAAGTTACCTAGTACGATGTGTCCGGTATGTATGTTGTATTGTAAATATTCCCAGATTGTTTTCAAAGCAGGCCTATTCATCAAGATGAGTTTAGTGCTACTGACAGAATAGAGACAATGATTTTAACAAGCGAAATAGGGCACACAAGGTTAAAGTGTGAGGGGTAGGCCAGTGATTGTGGCCCATGTGAGATTGAGAAGCCATTTCACTGGGACGGAGCAGTCGACAGGCGGACAAGAGGGTCCGCAGAAGGCTCAAGAAATGAAGCAGCCAGTCGGATTTGACAGCCAGACTGGCAGGCATCAGTTCACAGACCACTGCCCGTTATCAGCTGTCCATCCTATGATTAGTGAAATCCCCCCTTTTTTTTTTTTCTTCATGAATGATGATGGGTTCCAAACTGACATGTGCGATTCTGAGAACAAATATGAAAACACACTAAATTGCGGAGGAAAGTGAACGTAACATAGACATTTTTCTAAGAATAAGCAAGCTGTCGTAGCCTTTACATGCTGCATGTGGGGAAACTCCCGGACATCAATATCTCCAAGCGGTGTGTCAGGAGGGCTTGGATATAATTTCTTACGAATATAATGAGATGCCAAGCATGTCAAAATCACTCGTGGAGTTTGTGTCTCTGGGTGAGATTCTGTTCACAAACAAACTGCAACAGCAGCAGAAATCAAACATCGAACCACTTGAGGAATTGAAATCTGCTCCCAGACTTTTATAATGTTCACACAAAGAGATCAGATGAAAGGTTTTTGGAAGTGCAAAATTTAGATTAAAATTGAATGACAATTTTGGTGCCTTTTAAGTTTGATCTTTCTCCAGCGAGGAGGTGACGGTTCAGGCTGGCTACATATGACAAATCATCAATCCCTTTCTACCCTACTAGGCTATTCTACAAGGTTACATTTAACCTCCTATTCCGTTTTGTCCTTTACAATCTCATGCATGTGTTATTTTGTTTCATTTAATTACCTGTTTATGACGACATTCATTTGCATTGTGTGGACCGAGTTACATCGCAATGGTCAGTGTGCAGTGCTTTACCATAGGAGTGTGAATGCCCCGTGTGATTGATGGATTTTGATCTCCACTTACTTGAATTTATTATTCCAGTAACACACGGTATGTCCAAGGTGTTGAGAACATATGCAAATACAAATGAATGAATTGACACCTTGGTTATTTTGGGGATTGATGATACCGCAAGACCGTGTGAAGTGACTCGGGGAGCCTTTTTGGATTCACTGGCTATTTCTTGCAACGTGAAGAAGAGAATCAGCACTTAGAAATACTGGAATGGAGAGCAGAAGCCACTCGTGTCCATTTGAAAAGGTATGCAGGAGATAGCATATACCTGTATATCTGCTGCATAGCGTTTCAATACATCTAATGAAAATTGGAAACACCATCTTATGAATATAGAATGAATCCAAAATCTTTGCAGTAATGGAAAAAAAACGACCGAACATTTGTCAGGACCCACGGGATCGAACAATCTGTATTTTTGCAGCACGATTGTAAGAATGTCGCAATTATGGAAAGGAGGACAATCAAGTCAATTTAGTCAAAAATCCTCTGTCGTGCATCAATCAACATTAGGGTAACAAGCTTCGGGGTTGGCATATTGATGCTTGCAACCTATGACCATTCCAGTTGATGAAGGCTGAATAATCTCCTCCATCCATGTCTGCTGGAGTGCTATTAAATTGGTGGCTGTTAATCTGGTTCTCTTTTCGACTGTGAATTAATTCACCTTGAGAGGCATTATATTATAAATTGAATGAGATAAGGGGGTAGGTAAGGGAACGGAGAGAGAAAAGAAATGG